AACATCGCCTGTGGAGCCCGCTCCTTTCTCTATTGAGCTGACGGTGCCACCCATGCCCCCTCCGTTGCCGGGGGCGGTCATCGTCGACACGAGCTCCCCGTAGCCCTATGGGGGCGCCGTCTCTGGCGTGACCCCCCACCGCCGCCAGGCACAACCGCCGCCCAGCCCGAATCGCGGCTGGTGGAGGACGAGTCGCTGGTTCTCGTCGAGGATGTCTTAGATGATGAGGACGCCTCGGCGCCTAGTTCGCCACAGCGGCCTGATCCGGCGTTGGGGCTCGACATCTTCCTCATGTACCCCTCCTCGCCCAGCCCGTCATCCTCTCTATCCCCCCTCGCCTCCCCCTTCCACCCTGGGGATGGATCGATGGGGCGTTCCAAGGCTCATCATTGGGCGGATGAGGACATTGACAACTCTTACATAGAGAGGTCGCCGATCACCTCCCCAACCTCCTACCTCGACATAGTAAGCCAGAGGTCGCAACTCTGGACGTCACCTTTGCTGGAGCATGCCAAGCCGCGCCTCACTCGCGGCAACGCTGCTGCTGAGCGAGGCAAGCGCCCCTTGGTGAGAGGGCCCGACCAACCAACGTTGCGGGAGGTGTGCATATGATCTTCTTTGGTCTTTGGCGTTGTGCAGGCGGTGTTGCTGCAGGACTCACACGGCCACGGTCGCGCCCTAGCGGTGGTGCATAGCTCGCACCTTTCGGCTTTGTGGATGGCCCGTCCCCCGCGAAACAGCGCCTCGGACGTCGCGGAGGGGGCTCCGCCCTCCAGCGCATCTTCGCTCCGGACGCCGACAACTGGCGTGAGGTCTTGTCGCAGGGGTCGTTAAGCGGTGCCGGAGGGGCACGCCCCGCTTGCACTGCATCGGTGAACCAGCGGCCCCCTACCCGCTATCCGGCGGATCTACGCGGGAAGTGCTTCAACTATCTCTCCACCGCGCACAGGGGGGCAACATGCAAGCTGCCTCCACGCTGCCTCCGATGCAAGGGGTTCCGACACCTCGCGCGGGACTGTAAGCAGCGGCGGAAGGTGCCTCCTTCCGGCTTTGGCACAGTTGGTGCCCCAGAAGGCCGGCAACGACGCCCTGTTCGGGAGCGTATCTTGGGCAACCAGCCGTGTACTCAGGACGACACGTCGAGCGTGGCTGGGGCTGTGTTTGGTGCGCGGCAGCATTGCTTTGTGCGCGTGCGACTCACGCCTGCGCGGCAATGATGGGTAGCAGAGCAATGAGGCGTCGGAGACATCGGCGCCGACCGCGGGGGCGACACCGCTGCGGCAACGAAAGTGTCGCCACCGGCGATCATGGGCGGTCGGCGAGGGGCGCCAAAGCGGCAGCGGACTTCACCTCGATCGCTGCTAGAACTGAGGCAAGGCACGGTGGGCTGACCAACGCGACAGGCATGGTTGAACCCGACCCGTTGACGCTCACGTTGTACCCGAGCGCCACGCAGGATCGCGACATCTCGGAGGACCCGATGGTTGAGGAGTTCGCAGCCTCGCTCGTCGGCAGTCAGATCATCGCGTGGCCTTCCCTTGAGCACCTCCCGTCAACTTCGGCGACCCCTAGCTTTCGGATGAGGCACCGGCGGTGGCGGGGCCCCAGCTGGAGGATGCGGTAGCCTCCTGTGTGCTGCGGACACCACCCCCATGTCCCATTCAGTGGACAGTGGACTCGTCGAAGACACACACGGTCGCCCTCACGGTGGATGACCCTTCCAGTTCACCACCAGGGGTTACCCACCAGGCTGTGGACAATGACGACTCCGCCAAACGACGCCTCGACAGCTTCATCAACAATGTCACGCGTAAGAGGGACTCTCCGCTGATTCGCGAGCATCCCAAACAGCCTCCTGCTAAGCCGATACTGCCGTGGCGGAGAAGGCGGTTGTCGGTTCAAAGCCTCTCCCGAGTGCCAGGTTCCAAACGAGGTGAGGTGCTGATCATGCAGCGTATGGGCTACACCAGAGATCCATCTGCGCCATCCGCTTCGGAGTTGGAGGCCTTTGACATGCTCTTCGACGGCAACCTGACTGCGCCTGAAGCCGAGGCGTTGGACGAGTTCTTCCCGGCCGTTGAAAAGGCACCATCCAGACAGCCGCGAAAACGCAAGGCCACCTAGGCCACAAAACTACGTCGATATTAGTTGTTTCCTTTTATGTAATATCAAAACATGAGGTCTTTTGCTAGGATGGTACAGCTTCGGCTGTGTTATGTCGATCTTCTTTGGCGCTCGATAGAAGCACGTTGTATATTTCTTTAAACTCTTCTCTTTAATACAATGATACGTAAAACTTTTTATTTTCGAGAAAAAAAGACACAGAAAGCATCGAACAATTTTACGATTCTGTCCTGTCACTACGCATTAAATGATCCGTTCATTTCCATTTCGAGCTCAAATCGTCTGTCAGGGTCCATGGAGGGTTCTCGATCGTCTTGCAAGCTCTGATCTAGCAATACGGTGTTCGGTGTAGGAGTTGGTAGCAGGTGTAGGACACACTAGGAAAACTTCACTCACTGATCACCAGCACCAGACACTACTACTACGGTACTACCACACTGCGCACTGTCCATATTCTATTGCTTGCCTGGAGAACGACATGGCGTCGAATGCAAGCATTGGACGGATCGGCACTGCACCCACGGGGCTACAGTAGCTAGTGTCTCGGTCTACAAGCTCGGCGCTGCCTATGTCTAGTTGTTAGCATGATTGTGTGACTGCGTGAGTGAGTGATTGAGTGGCCACAAATCATGAGGTCCGAATTCCGGGCCTGTTGGGTAGGGCCTGGAGTCCGGAGAATGATTTGCTGGAACCTGCCTCCACTCCCTCTGCCCCCACTTTGGTTGCTTGAGCATTTGGCCCCAGAGATGAACTCCATTCCCTCTTTCTTCCCTGAAGGGTCTCAGTGTCATTAGAAGAATCATATGCTTTGTGGACAGATCATCCGGTCGTTCTAACTGAGATTGGGTCGCTTTGCTTTATCAGCAACCGAGCATACATGCCCACAAGTTAAACTTGGTTTCCGAGACATGTCGCCGGGTGCCACATGAAGATTGGTACACTAATCACTAGTGTACTGCTACTTCCAAAGGTTTCTGTGTCGCAACATACTTGGCGGCCAAGCGCGCATGCAGCCAGCGGAGCGAGCGAGCGCACGCGGCGGCCGGCGAGCTCGCAGCCAGCGGAGCACGCGACCGCACGCGGCGGCCGGCGAGCGCGTGCAGTGGCGGCACGGGCGTGCGCACCGACGGTCGGCGGGCAATCACGGATCGATGGAAACGACTGGTTTCCTCCCAAGTCCCAACGGGGAAATCACCGTTTCTTCGTGCCTCGGTTCTAGAGAAGACGTCGTTTACTCTCCTCTATTTTCCATCTCTTTTCTCATTAATCATGCTGTCACGTCAGCATTTTATTTAGTTAGCATCTTATTTAATAGAGATAAAAATCACAATTAATTCTCCATTGGGAGTGCCTAACATATTGTCACGTTCAACACTAATAAATGCGTATATGTCTTTGGCCCCGCTCGGCTTGTTGAATCTTAGCTGAAATTGGCTGAAAAACACTGTTCTGGCTGAAATGTCGTGAGAGAAAAATACTGTTTTGGCTGAAAAAAGAAGCCGAACAAGCCAGATATGGGATCAGCCGAACGGGGCCTTTGTTGGTCAGATTGTGTCCACACCTATCCTGCCATGTCGAGCCTTCTTTTGTTCTTGCCCTCACGAGTCCGCATGACAAGATTTAGTCTTTCAACTTGTACACCTTTATATACAGGCTTTGCTGCCACAAAGTTGAGCTGTTCGATTGATGACGGCTGAAGCTGATTTGTCGTGAGAGAAAACATTATTCCATGTCTGATAAGTTCAAGCGAACAGGGCGCTTCACAAGATAATTTTCACTGGTTCTTGGTTATGCACCTACAACATTTTTTAATGTGTTAAGATATTCTTTTAGCAAAACAATATCCCTAGTTTACGAGAACAATTGTTCCATGTTTATATAGGACAAAAACATTGTGAAAATTGTCGAATTTTGAAGTGAAAATTGTTTCTAATTTAAAAAAAAGTGTTATAGCTTCATGAGAAAAATGTTATAGGTCCAATGAAGTTCCAAGTTCAAATGGAAAAAGGTTTGTAGTTTAATTAGGAAAAAAGACGTTCCACCTCAATAAAATACAAAAAATATTCTGTTTGCCTAATTGCAGTGTCCTAATAAATATTATTACTGTTTTATTTATGTGAGATCAATGTACCATTAGCCATTAGCCATATAGCCGTGTCCCATGGAGCGGACAAATACGAAATCAGGGAGATAGAAAAAGTAAAAAAAGGGAAAGGAAGAAATAAGAATTTCGTAAAAAAATAACCGGTCCAACAACCTGGGCCAAGAACCCCGGTCTGGGCTACCGACGTCCGCCCCCGCCGCAGGCCGCAGCCGTTAATTAAAAAAAAAAACCTTCACCCCGCGGCCCACCTCTCTCTATCTCTGCGGGACTGCGACCGTGCGACGACGGGGCTACCGCCGCCTCCCTACGCCAGCTGCCGAGGTCTTTCGTCGGTCCCTTCGCCGGCGACGACACCCACCAGGTATTCCCACCTCTTCTCTTCCCTTCATGCTGTGCGAAACCGAGCACCCAAACCCTAAGGAGGTGTTTGGTTCAGCTAGGAGCTCCTAAATTTAGTTCCATTTAGTCATTTTTTTACAAACACTGTGACGATTAAAAGGGTTTAGTTCTCTCTAACAAACTCTGGAGTGACTAAATATGAGACTAAACCATTTAGGAGGGACTAAATTTAGCAGCTGCAATCTAAACAGGACCTAAGTTAAGCTATCACTGTTTGATGCCTACTAGCTTCGAACTTTCAGAAATTATATCATTAATTATCGGGTGTACATGTGTACACAGTACACCCATCTCCTTCACTGGTTCCGCCCCCGTAGTAAGGGTAATCTCTTTGGAGTTTCGGAGGGGACGCTCTAGAAGGATCGTTTCCAAAATGAGGTATTGTTTTGTACTTTTGTTCAGATTTTAGGATTTCTCCACTACCTTATCCGCGAAGCTGTATTGAAATTTATATTTATGAGTAGAGACTAGTGATGAGGATGTTTACAGAATCTCTTGTACTGCAGATTTAGGAATGCTCTCGGTTCTAGACTCTTCCAGTGGTGTTCGCATGAGTATCATACATCTGTCCGGAAGCTGTTGGATGTGGATGGAGCGTCGGAGAGATCAAAGCTCCTTAAAAAAGTAAGTGGTTTGATCGCACTTTGTTGCTGTCATCTGTTAATTTTGGCCTTCATTTTGCCATGCATCATTGATGGCTTTGAGTCTGTCTAATCATCTGTCTCACATCGCAGTCCTAATATACTAGCTACCGTTTGATCCTTGAAATGCTCAAGAGATGTTAGCTACTAAGAACAGAGTGGCGACAACTTATTTGTTTGCCATTTGTGTATGTTTTGTTATTTCCATTGTAGTTTAGTTTTAGGTCTAAAGGGATTACGCTACTTAATTATGTTGATTTTACAGATTGTGCATTTTTCTGTTTGTTTCTGCTTTTCACCTGAGGTTCTGGCATGTTTCAACCCGTAAGAGTTGCAAAAATTTTAAAGCACACTCCAAGGGCCAGTTCCAGCTCTAACCCCATTATTGCTTTAAGATTTGCCCAACCCTCATTCGTGATGAAGCATAAATTCATAAAAGCACTGCTCAACAAACTATTTACTCTTCATCTTTTCCTTCTGCAAAAACTAAGCTTACTCTGAAATATGTACTACTGCAGATGTCTGTTTTGATGGGTTATAGCTATCCACAAGATTTAGTCGGGCAACAAATAGCCCCCGGGGAATCTACTGCAGAGTTGATTAGTGCCTTCAAAGAAATTGATTTCCCAGAAATTGCTGCAAAGTTTCCATGCATAAAAATTGGTGATGCATCACCTGTTGAACTGTATGAGGATTCTACTAACATGAAGTTTAAAGAAACTGTGCTTTCTGAAAACCTCACAAATTTCATCCGAGGTTCAGGTCGAAATTTGGAGACAGCTTATGAATTTCATAATGACTGTCATCCATTGAGTCAAACACCCACAACTGCAGACGATCTTTTAATCAGTGAAGATATTCCTCTCATGACACAGCATATTTCTCAGGAACCAGCAGTTGATAAGAAGTCTTGTCCCAAGTCAATGTCAGATGCTATAACCTCTGACAACAGTATACTGGATAAAAGTATCAGGTGCTTGCCTGGAACAACTAGTAGGCAATGTCGCCAGCTAGAGGATGCTGGTTTCCATACGGTATCAGCTGTCAAGTCACTTCTTTCGTATTGTCCTTTTGATTTTGTAAAATCAGAAGAAAAAAAACTCACCCCTCGCCTTCTTTTATAGGTCCGCAAATTATTGCAGCATTTTCCTCGGACTTATGCAGATCTGCAAAACCCTCAAGGCCCCATAGAAGATGGGCAGTACATTATGTTATTTGGTACTGTTATATCTTCCAGGTAATTAAATATTATCCATTAGAGATTTAGAGCCATACAATGCATGCAGAAGGTGCAGAAATTTAAGAGAAAATGAGTGGGCAGTTTAGTCCATCAGTTGAATTGGATTGTTATGGAGCAAGGAAGGAGCTTTTATGAAATATGCTTGGAGTCTTTTGATATAATTGTGTAGTAGCTTAAATTGCATGGTACTGTTTCGTCTAGGATTATTTGGGTATGGCCTCGTCAAGAATGTTAATATCTGTTAGTCTTGCTTCCAACTCCTGAACTTCAAACTCACTGAAGTTGGTCATGATCTTTTATCACCACTTAATTCAAGCAATATTTCCTCAACAATATTTAGCTCATTTTACTTCCTTGAGAAGGAAGTAATTTATGCTCTAGCACATTTCTTAAAGAGTTAAATGCATGAATGGCCCCTGAACTTGTCAAGGGGTGCTATTTAGGTCCACGAACTTTGAAAACGTATTAAGGTCTCTAAACTTATTAAGTGGTGTATTGCAGTGGTTGGTATGGTCCAGAAATGGACCTGCAGTGACCATTTTACAAGTTTAGGATGTGCAGTGCATCACTTAACAAGTTTAGGAACCCAAAAATGCATTTTCAAAGTTTGTGGACCTAAGTGGCACCCCTTGACAAGTTCAGGGGCTGCTAATGCATTTAACTCTTTCATAAAAGGGGTTAAAATGATGATTTATAAAGGATTTGTTTTGTTCAGCAAGGAAATTCATGTTTGTGTATGTGTGTGGATCAAACAAATAAGAATAAGATAATAGATATTCTTTTGAAGAAGAAATAATTTGTAAATTTTGCTGATTACTGAAGAAAATATGGAAAGCTAATGGAAGATCCCAATTGCTTTTAAAGTATGCAAGGCAAATCGGAAATCATCACTTCATTATTATTGAATATTCTGAAATTCCATGTTCCCTGTAAAATTCTTAACATAGTTACTGTAGTACACTAATCATATTGTTTGCAAGATCTCTATTGTGGCCATGATTTTCTAGACAAAGCAGTACACCATTGTTGATATTTCACTATGCTTTCTTGTAAATACTTCATTTGTGACTCTGTTCTCAGGGGAATCAAGGTTAAGTCCACTTTAGGTTTTCTTGAGGTGGTTGTTGGTTGTTCCATAGTCGAGTCTGAATTGAGCTCTTCAGTTGAGGGTAGTCACTCCGGAGCAGAGCAGAAGAGAATTCATTTGCACCTCAAGAAATTTTTCAGTGGCACACGTTTCTCTTCCCAACATTTTCTTAACTGTATGTCAGCAAAGCACAAGGAGGGGGATCTTGTTTTTGTTAGTGGTAAGGTTGGTGTACTAAAATATTGTTATCTGTCTACTTGTTGACCCTTTCCGGCAGTTCTCCTTAATTATGAAGCATGCCTGCAGGCCTTTTTGTTCTTTCTTTCTTTCTTTCTGGTATTTGTTCGGTAATGCTACGGTGCAAACTGATTTGTAACCATAAAAACTCAATTTGTGTTTATCCAAGTGCACCTTTAACAATAGCCATAATGTAGCTTTATTGTGCAAATGTTGTCTCTTTTAAAGAACTTTTTTGAACTCATGGGGATTAAGGAATTAACCGCTTAATAACAGCATATGTAGATGAATAACCTACTGATTCTGCCTGTGCAGATTAAAAAGGCGCTTGCTAATGGTCATTATGAGTTGAAGGAGCACACAATTGATGCTCTTGAAGGAGAAGGGGAACAAAGCACTATGCTTGACAGGAAACCACACCCTATATACCCATCAAAAGCGGGATTAAAACCTAGTCTGCTGGGCCTTTCTATCTCTAGGTTGGTGCATGATGTCTCATGTCTATCTTTTGTCTAGTTGCTTTAAGACTACCATCAAGTAAACCATGAAACCGTTGGTTCTACATCTGCAAATATGCCTAATCCAAAAGTTCAATTCGGCTGAAATGAAAAAAAGGGAAAAGCTGAGGTGGTTTGTTAGAATGATGGTCGTGTCCTCGATAAAATTAGTTCCTAATTAAATTTCCAAGTAACAAATCCAGTTTACCCCCTCAACTTCTGTCCAAGTTTAGTATAAAATGCCCCTCATATATGCTGGTGAATAACTTACACTAGGTCCACATTTTAAGGGATGACTGCAGACCGTCAGCCTCTTACCTTATTTGTATTGCATTCACATACACGTTTTATGTTCCATTCAAGTTATGAAAGACATTGCAATTTGTGTACAGGGCCTTGAAGATACTGAACCCGGATGTTGATCCTATGCCTCCTGATGTTCTCGTTGAATTCAACTTGCTTAATCTCTTTGATATAAGCAGTACCTTGAAATATATTTCACTTTATAATTATTCTTCTTGCACGAACGACAGTAGGAACCTTTCTTTATTGAACTATATGTAGTACAAACATAGATACAAATGTTTGCTCTGCATCACCTTTGGATTTCTCTGTGAACTACTCTGTGTGCTGATCTCTTTAACTGAATGACCATACTAGGTATGTTCAACAACGCTATTTAACTAGTACAAGATGTGTTCCCTTTTTTTAATCTCTAGTTTTTTTATCATTTAGTAAAATTTTGTTGTCTCTTGTTGTGTTTCATATCTAGCCTACCCTGTTTGCTTGCAGCTGAAGGGTTTTACAGCCGCTGTAGTAAATTGCCGTATAAGAATTACCTGCTGAATTCCATGCAATAACTGATACAGCTGTATAAATAAACTGTTGCCAGAATTCCTGCAGTTTAACTATTTTTATCTGGCAAACATTTATTTTGTGAATTTATTAATTGGACATGAAAAAACACGAGGTGTATTCTGAAAAGTTTTATTAATACTTGCACTGTCCATCAATATAAGGTGTGTTCTTTAGGAAGTCTTTAAAAATGTAGATGTTTGAACTTAGTAACTTTCGCATTATAATTTCAATTGCTATAAAATCAACATAACTTATGTACACTAAAAATTATATAAATTTGACTAACTGTTGGTCAAAACTCGCACAGTTTGACCTTTCAAATCAAAATTCTTCCTACATTGATGGATGAAGGGAGTATACTGCAAAAGAGGTTGATCCTAAGTTATTTCCTGTGGACCGTGTAAATGCCCAAAATGACACCTGTTTTAGGGCAGTTAAAAGGCATTGCATTTTTCTGACTCGTGGGAGGATGTCTTGGTATGTTTCTGATTTTCTAAATAATGTATTCAATAACATTTTTGGTTAATTTTAGGCTTACATGGGAATTCACAAACCTAAGGATCGATCTGAAGCTGATTTAGCTCGAAGAAGGCTTATATTTGATGATTTCTTTTACCTCCAGGTATCATTGTTGCTTTCAGTTTCAGTTTCAGCCCGTTTGCTTGTTGACATCTGTGCAAGAGCTCATTGTATATGTTAGAAATTTCAGCTGTGTTATGTGGCTTGTTAGTCTGCAACTTGCTTGGCATGCCTGGTTTTAAGTATGTTGACTTGATAAATAATGGATATTGCCACGTTCACATTTCTTTGAGCTCATAATAATTGTTCTCAATCATACCTTGGTTATTTAACGGTTCAAATAAACATGCGCAATGTTTTCAAATCTTCTAATCGACCCTAGTCACCATGGCATGGTGACACCGATAAGCCCGACTAACCGCAACTAATCATGATTACTCAGACCACTTGATAACCTTGAACATGTGCTACTTGCAACAACATTGGTTGTTATTTCAGTTGGGAAGACTATTTCAAATGCTTGAAGCAGTTGGTATGCGGGTTGAGAAAGAGGAATTGTTATACAAGTGTAAAAATCATGAGCTAAATACTGTTGGTGTAGACGATTGGTCTCCTCTTACAAAGAAATTGTTGAGGGCTCTTCCTTATTCGCTTACTCAAAGTCAAATGAATGCTGTTAAAGAGATTATATGGGATCTCAGGAGACCAGTTCCCATGAACAGACTCTTGCAGGTAACTATTATTTGCACTTTTCTTAGTTTGTTATCCAAACATTTCAGTATTTCATTCTTGTTTCTAGACTTGGTTCATCAGTGTAGATGTTCTAGTGGACTCTAATTAATTGTCATCATATCACTTGCAATTTGTTGTACATTTCTTGTTTCAGTCATATTTGTTTTAAACGATTTCTTTGGAGTTGTTTGAGGTACTTTCTAATATGCATCCCACCTTATCTTATGATTCTTAAAACAGTAAGTATGATAATACTATATCTTTCTGTTGAAAATTCAAATCTGTTATCCCCTCCATTTTTTATTTGGTCTTCTGGGAGTTAAAGTTTGTTCTCTATTAGTTGATGCTATGGTAATTCAATGAGAGACTTGGCTACCTTTCCTAAAGACTTAAGTCGCTGTCGCTGCTACCTCATTTACTGCTCTACATTTTACAGAATGTAGTTCTTCTACACAATAGGTGGTTGAGGAACAAATGAATTTAGAAACTACCAGGAAATACACCTTTAGTGTGGTGGTATCATTTTCCGTTTTTTTTCTTAATAAAGTTTGGGGAAACATTACAAAATGCTTGCATCTGTTTGGATTGTTACTCAGTAACCCCATTGTAGTTTGCCAGAAATACAGGTGCACAACTTTATTGTGGTTGAGGAATAAAGGAATCTAAAATGCTGGCAAGAAAGATAACTTTAGTGAGGTGGTACCATGTTGTGTTTTTTTTTCTTTATAATAAAGATTGGGGAAGCATAACAAAATGTTTGCATCTGTTTTGATTGTTACTAGAAAAAATCGTTGTAGTCTGCCAGTTGAGCGATCTATTTTAATTTGGCATATGCTATCTGCAAACGTGTTACTCATTTATTGTGGCTTATATGAAATTATGTAATTACAAATATTGTTATAAGCTTACAAATGTTTTCTATTTGTTGGTGACAGGGGGATGTTGGCTGTGGAAAGACCATTGTTGCTTTCCTGGCATGTATGGAGGTTGTTAATTCAGGGTTTCAGGTATCATACTACTACGCATTAATATTGTTGCCTTGTTTACTCTATACCAAAGGGGTTGTCAGTGCAATCCAGCTTTCTGAGTTATAATAAGTTGTTCACGCAAACAGAAGATACGAGAAAACAAACTATTATTGTCCCTGTGGCACTTTCTTCAGTTTAATATATTCACCTTTTACATTCCTTTCTAGGCCGCTTTCATGGTTCCAACAGAGGTGCTTGCTGTCCAGCATTATGAACACCTAACTTCATTGCTAGAGAAGTTTGATGGAGATGAGAAACCAAATATTGCCATGCTAACTGGTTCAACTTCCACAAGGGAGTCAAGGATAATTCGAAATGCAAGCTGTTCTCCCTAGTTCTTTCACTCACTCTCAAGTTCCATATGCATATATTAATATCTTTGCTTTATTTGTATTCTATCACAGGGTCTGGAAACTGGAGAGATAGCCATGGTCATTGGAACACACAGCTTAATAGCTGATAAAACTGATTTTTCATCTTTACGTATCTCTGTTATAGATGAACAGCAGCGCTTTGGAGTTGTACAGAGAGGCAGGTTTAATAGTAAGGTATTGCTGAGCATATGTAGTTCACATTGAATGTTAACTATGCATTTTCTTCCTGTATGCTATTTTGTTCTAGTACTGGCACAGAAACTGTAATTCTTGCTGGTGGGCTTAGGTTTAAGTTTCTTGGTTAAGGAATATGATTACCAGGATTCTCGTATTGTCTTTCTATACCTGATTTGATGAGTACATGTTCTGATCTCTGCACCTTGTGGACATGCATTTATTAGTACCATAATTTGTCAATAGCAAACTCCTACTGGTGATTAGCTACGAGTTGATTGATTTTGTTACAGCTATATACTTCTTCCTCAAAGTTGAGTGATGAAAATACAAGTTCAGATGAGACTTCTGATTCTGAAACATTTATGGCTCCCCATGTTCTTGCGATCATGCGATGTCAGCTCCCCATGTTCTTGCTTTATATGGTGATATGTCTCTTACTCAGGTATGCTACTGCAGATACGTTGGTTTTCCATGTAACGTAGAGGGAGTACATAGGGTACCACGTCCAAAATAAACATAAAGCTAGACTAATTCTAGACTAAAAGGGCGTACCCAGTGCAGAGAGCTCCCGCTCTGTGCGGGGTCTGGGGAAGGGTGTCAGTGGCAAGCCTTACCCTCGCCTGTGCAATGCGAGGAGACCGCGACTCGAACCCGGGACCTTCCGGTCACAGGCGGTAAGACTCTACCGCTTGCACCAGGCCCGCCCTTCAGACTAATTCTAGACTAATACAAATTTATTATTAAACAATCAGTAGCACATTCTGCCTGATGCTAGGGACCTGCTACATCAAAATTTAACAAATCAGATTTAGGAATTCATGCAAACGTTGGTTTACTGCATCTTTAAATTTCATATTCACAGGTATTATAGTTTTTCACATCTGACATCATGTTCCTTATAGATTACGGACTTGCCTCCTGGAAGGCAACCTATTGAAACGCTTGCTCTTGAAGGAAATGATGTTGGGTTTCAAACTGTCTTCCAGGTGATGACATGATTTTGCCTTTTGTTTCTTCTGTTGGACCTAAATCTTTTTGTTTCTTCTGTGTGTATGTAGATGCAGTGAGCTCCGCTTTTCTTATGTCTTCCATTTCAATCTTATGATGATCCGCAGATGATGAGGGATGAACTGATAGATGGGGGCAAGGTCTACCTTGTGTATCCTATCATAGATGAGTCTGACCAGTTGCCACAACTCCGTGCTGCAACGGCTGAATTTGATTCCATAAAGAAAAAAATTGAAGGCTATCCCTGTGGGCTATTGCACGGCCGCATGAGGAGCAATCAGAAGGAAGAAACTCTTAGCAGTTTTAGAGGCGGAGAAACACGCATTCTCCTCTCGACACAGGTGATTGAGATCGGGGTCGATGTTCCTGATGCTTCCATGATGATTGTCATGAACGCCGAGAGGTTTGGAATCGCTCAACTGTATCAGCTGCGAGGGAGAGTAGGCCGCGGTGAAAGGAAATCCAGATGCATATTCCTGGCTTCCACTTCGAGCACACTGCCAAGGTTGAAGGTGCTTGAAAAATCTTCTGATGGGTTTTACCTGGCTAACGCAGACCTGCTGCTCCGTGGCCCTGGCAATCTACTAGTCTAAAAGCAATCTGGCCATCTTCCGGAATTTCCAATAGCTAGATTGGAGATCGATGGCGGTATTTTACAAGAGGCCCATCTTGCCGCTCTGGTAAGTTCTTCCCTTGAATTTTCTAAAAGATATTTCATAAAGTGTTTCCATTTATATTGAGCCGACTGTCTTGTAACATTCTTTGGGTTATCAACGCAGAAAGTGCTGGTCGCAAGCAACGACCTAGCATTGTATCCACGGCTGAAGGTGGAGCTCAGCATGAGGCAGCCATTGTGCATTCTTGGAGATTGACCTGTGCAACCGTGAGGTATTCAGATAGATCTCTGTGAATGGCCCATCTAAGGCAGTCTTAGTTTGCATGTAGATATAACAGCACTGCTAGTAGGCTCGTAGATTGGGCCTGTTCGGCTGGTATTAAAGCCGGCTGAAGCTGTTTTGTTGTGAGAGAAAAATACTGTAGATTTTAGCTGATAAGCCGGCTGATAAGTTCAAGCGAACAGGCCAAATTATTAGCTATTGGTAATAAAAAGGGCGTACCCAGTGCAGAGAGCTCCCGCTCTGTGCGGGGTCTGGGGAAGGGTGTCAATGGCAAGCCTTACCCTCGCCTGTGCAATGCGAGGAGACTGCGACTCAAACCTGGGACCTTCCGGTCACAGGCGGTAAGACTCTACCGCTTGCACCAGGCCCGCCCTTCAAAGCTATTGGTAATGACAAAATGAATATTTTCTTTTCTGAAAATTATCCCTACTGCTTTCCTGAGGGCTTGTTCGGTTAATTTCCAAACCGAGGGAATTGAGGGCTTTGAACATTAACCGAACAAGGCCTGAGGTGGAAATGTGTATGCCTGTACAAGATAAGAATGCGCAATGTATGCATCATGATTTCATTGGAAGTTGACCTTTGACGATCCTTGGCGTCTCCTGGTTTGACTAAAGTCCGATTCCCCTTCTGGAATTAGTTGTTGATTTTGAAGGACCTCCTTGAACTTTAATACTCGATAACATATACATCTTTACTTTTAAAGCTGGACAACCCTTATAAACCATTTATAAGTGATTTATTAGATGGTTTTGTTCACTTGGTGGTGTCTCTCTTTTATGTAAAAAAAACATCACTTTTTCAAAGCCGTAGGAATACAAATTTTATAACAAAATTATAGAGCTCGGACATGATCTAAAACTTTATAATTGATAACCTTTTTATTTGAGGCATTTTAGAGGCTCAAATATTTGTTTTAAGTCACCAGATTTTAAATTTCATTTTTTTATTATTTTTTTTCTAAGACCTCTTATATTAACATAATCTATATCAAAGTTGTAGTTCCTAGTAATGTCTGTAACTTTGTGGTTGAGTTTATTTTTGTTTTTTTTAAACCTTGGATGTTCATGTGAGCTACACCAAAGTTGTACCTTAGATATATTCTACATCTTTATAGCTCACATAATTTTTTTATGAGCAGTCGTTTAGGGGCATAAATATTCGTTTTAAATTCTTGGATTTTGAAATTCATTTTCTTTGAATTTTTCAAACGACTGTTTGTTGACATGGTCTATACTAGGATTATAGCTCTCAATATGTTCAACAACTTTATAGTTGACAATATTTTTATCTAGGGTCCTTTAGAGGCATAAGTATTCATTTAAGTTCTCAAATTTTGAAATTGATTTTTTTTATTTTCAAATGACCTTTGAAGTTAACATGATCTATACTAAAGTTGTAGATCTCAGCGAGTTGTAGTTGACAATTTTTTATTTGAGATTGTTTAGAGGTCTAATATTTATTTTAAGTTATCTGATTATGAAATTCAATTTTTTAAACTTCAAATGATTTCGGATGGAGACACGCTCTATACTAAATTTGTAGTGATAAAAAACATTTAAAACTTTCTAGTTAAAATTGTTTCTGTTTAAGATTATTTAGATCAAATCAAATATTCAATAAAAGATGACATGGCATAAAATCGAAGACATATGGGGAGTATATAGAAAAGCCAAAAAGACTTAGGCCCCCTTGGAAGGCGAGATTTTTTCCTACTCCTATGTTTTTTTATAAAAAAACAAACTGATTTTTGTAAATTCCTATATAATTTAAAGAGGACCTTACAATCCGAAACAAACAGAGTATTTCCTAATGACCAAACTTTTCTTATAGAATATATAAATATATAAATTATATTATAAAAAATTAACAATGAAAGTATAATTTTAAAGAGCACAACCAATGAAATAGTGACTTCTATTTTTGAGACGAGCTTTTTACCTGTATAGCCCTAGAAAAAATGTATCTTCCTTGTATGGCATTTTTTTTTCTTAATCTTACATGTATGGCCTCGAAACGAAATTTTCTTTCTTCTATGGCCTTCCGCTCGTTTTTGTCACTTAATAGTGTTAAGTCAAGGGTAAAATGACCATTTTACCCCTAGCAAAAAAAATAAAATGCATAGTTTTGTTTGTTTATCGTATATTTAGAGTAATATTAAGCAAATAAATTCACACATAATATTATATAATAGGACACATAATCAAGTACACAAATATATTGCAATAAAGTGAGCTTATCAAATACATAAAAAATTTCACAAATGCATATAACCATAGGTTGACACAAAAATTATTCACAAATCCATCATATTTTCAGTCTCACATAAATAAGGTCACATAAAAGTGCGAATTCAAACATACATTGGTCTCACATACAACAAGCGAGCATGTGTTTGTTTTAGCTCTTCAGCAGAAACGCCACAAAGGGCGGTGAAGAATTCAACAATTGAATCATTTGGTGGTTTACACTGTTTACAAAGATTTGTTCAGCAGGTTTTCCAGCCAACTCTTTCAGCGATTGGATTACAGAATCCCTCAATATTTGATTTGATCCCAGCATTACAGTTGCGGATAGTGAAGGATTTGAAGTTGCCAGGCTCTTTGAAGCATCTCTTCACGAGATTCAACAATGCTCTCTTGCTTCGAAGAATCTCTTCGAAGTTGCTTCCAATCAGCCAATGACTTCAGAATACTCATCAAGCACTGTAATAAAAATCTTCATATCAAACTAACAATAAATAAGAAATTATAAAGGAGGCTCGAGTAACCTGAATCATAGTAACATAGATAGACGAGCCTTTTACATAAACTGTTTGGGATGACGCAATGGAGTTAATATCAGCAATTTGAAATCCTTTTGCTATTTTTGAGAGTGCACTAACCTGGTAGCAGACATATTATCAATTAGATGTGTTACAAGCCAAAGAAAAAAAGACTAAGAAATTCAGAAGCTATGCTTTGTGGATATTTGAAAAAAAACATATGATTACCGTGTGTTCAAAAAGATTTGTTCCCTCAAGATTAGTCATAGTCCACAAACACATCTGCTAGGTGCGGGAGGGGCTGCTCGCTGCGGACTGGCCATGGGAGGGGCTGCCTGGTGGCTCCTCGGGCTTGCCGCTGGAGGGGCTAGCCGCTCCGCACAAGACGCTGGAGGGGCCGCCTGATGGGGCACCGGGCTAGTCGTGCCGGACCTGCCCTGGCCGCGCTTGCGCTACCAGTTGGGCGGCGGCGCCTCCTCCACGCAGAGCTCACCGATCGGCGATGGGAGAGAGGTCGGTCGGCCTTGGATCCGGCAGATCCGATGGCAGAAGGGCCGGCAGCGGCGGCGTCCATCTCCCCTATGTACGCGACGGCGGCGTTTTTTCTTCAAACCCGCTCGATCCTGGTCGGGTGCGGCAGAAAGGAACTAGAGGATACGAAGGAAGAAAGCAGAAGGGCATTTCAATGGGGAAACTAACGGTACACCCTAACAGATACGACGGAAGGCCATACAAGGAAGTTCGAAAAAAACGGGCCATACAAGGAAAAAGGCATTTTTTTTCTAGGACCATTAAGGTAAAAAGCTCTTTTTGAGATGAAGTATGTTTGATCAGAGGCAGTTTGAGAGAGCACCAGCTTAGAAGCGGCGGTATTAGCGCCCAGACGTTCGGACGGACCCCCGCGCCTGCTACAATGCCCGCGCCAACGCCTGCCATCCCCCTTGCTTCCTTGCTTCCTACGCCCTTCCACGCCTGTTGCGCCGCTCTCCTCCATGCACGGCGCCCCAGCAGGCAGCTACGGCAATTGGCTCGTATTGCAACATGCACAACACCCCCGATCTATTTTTGAAACATCCAAATGAAACAATTGCAACATACGTACGAAATAATTGAAACATTCAAAACATGCCCTAAACACATGAAAAAACACATGAAAAACGCTTAAAAACAATTGCAAACATATGCAATATCTAGATAAAACACTTACAACATATGTGTGAAACATATGCAACATCCAGATAAACACAATTGCAACATACGTTTGAAAAAAATAGATGAAACATTGGGAAGAGACACTTGCAACTTCATGTACAAGCATTACAACATTCCGTTCTACTTTTGCAACATCCGCATGAAACATTTAAAACATACCTACGAAATATCTGAAACACATGAAACATGCTCTTGCAACATGGGGAAGCCCGAGTCGTCGGGGTCGGAGCCGGCGCTGCGCGAGCACCACCACCACCACTATCGCTGGCAGCACCGAGCTTGGCTCGGCCGGACAGGCGGCCCGCGATGGGTGGGAGCAAGCGGTGCGGGATGGGCGAAGCACGACCAGGGAGCGAAGCGTGGGATGGGCGCTGGCGGCGTGACAAAGGCGGAAGGGCGGTGTGTCAGACGGGAAGGCATGGTGGAGAAGGCCGCGTTGGAGAAGGCCGGTAATGGCAGGCGAAGTAGCATGGTGGATGCGCCGCATGGCGGTCGGATCGCGTCTGGCAATGGGGAGAAGAAATGTGGCTTTGTTTTTTATTTTTTCGAGACCAGAAGGTGGAGCGGAGGAGGCATGTTGGATCCGTTCGTTGGGTAGGCCCGGAAACGAGCCGTCCGGACGGAACTCGCCTGGATAGACGTCGTGTGCCAGCATTATCATCTCCGGAAAAAGCATCACTCTCAACCGGCTAAGCGCTCAAAATGTCAAAGATCATGTGAGAATCACTCATTCATTTACGCTGGGAACTACTAGAACTTAAAAAAAATCTTGTTTCACAAGAATCAGCTTTTCGTCCTGTCGCCTCTGGAAATCCAATCAAATCACACGTCACAGAATGAATGAACAAAACTGATCAAGAATCACTCCGCAACCGGGGCCTCTCTCCTCAGTCTTCGCTACAGTCGTCAACTTGCAGTATGCAGCACAGGCATGGTCGACTTGTCAGTGACTTCGAGGAGCCGTGCTGAGTAGCTTGGCGGTTGCCGCAGCTTGTAA